CAGGAGAAGACGGAAGTTAGCGCCAGAGCGCGTAGGGATTCCGCCGTGTAGTCAGCGAAGGTTTTGCCGTAGAGACAAAGTGGGAGAAGAACATGATTTCCACCTGAGGGGTGACGACTCGAGCTACAGGCAACAGTGTGTGTTTACCGCTATTGAGCGAAGACGCGTGGCAACAGCTGCGTGTGTGAAGCCGACGTGTTCGGGCGAAGAAGTTTGAAGCTTGGAGAGTGGCCTATTGAAGACGGGAGGTTTCCTGGAAGAGAAACTTCGGCGAGGTTTCCTGGAAGAGAAACTTCGAGGGCGGGGAACGACAACAATGCTGGACTTTGAGTGAGTGATTCTCGGAAGAGTATCATCCAGACTTTTTTTCCAAGAACTTTGGACTGGATAGGTTTTCTATCTCTTTAGTCTTTAGGTGTCTTGGTTGTTCAATGCATGCGACTTCATTGTAGTGCGTATCGTTGTCTGTGTCCGTTGTTTTGAGTGTGGCTGATTGTACTGTGTAGTACGTTGTTTGATTGGTGACGTATTGTATGTAACTATTGTGGAGTGTGCATTCTTGTGTATTGTTTTCGATGTGCCATTTTTGAGAATATAATAATTGTTTTTTTATCAACTCTCGGCTCTGACTTGTTCTTTGGGCCACAGCCGGCGTCCGCTGGCGCACCAAAAAGGACCACTTCTAAATTGTCCACGCTTTTGTGGTGCAGTTCGGGGGGCCAATACTTCGGCCCTTGGAATTAGCCCAGCGATCGCCTCCCTAATTACCGGGACCGGTGTGACACCCATGCGAATGTGATGTATGAAACGTACTCACAAGCACAGATGCACGCAAATGAGCGTCTCAGTTGTTACTTCGCTGTGTCTGAAAACCCCCGCTTTTTGCAAACGAAGACTTCAATGAGTGCAGTGACCTTTGTGCGCCCAGTAACTACAACATAATTGTTCCAGGTAAAGCCCAAGGCCCGCCATGACGCACAATCCTCTTCTCTTCCCCATCGCCAGATAAGGGCGCGCGAGGCAGCGTCACTCCCCTCCTGTAAGCGGGGCTAAGTACGCGTAAGAGATTACAGTACGTGCCACCCCGCGATGTGTTGACGGGCGCTCATTGCGCCATCTTGCTGGTAACGCTGAAAACATGATTCCCCCGAGATGCCCGTCAGCCTCGCTAAGTGAGGATATTAATACCTTGTCGTTTAAACGTTGAAGGACGTGCTCCTCGGTTGCTCAGTGGTTAACGCCTCGCATTCACGACGCAGAGGTCCCATGTTTGATTCTGCACGCCGGAATCTTTTTCTGGATTTTCTCTTTCTTGCGCTTTCATATATATATATATATATATATATATATATATATATATATATATATATATATATATATATATGTATATATATATATATATATATATATATATGACGCTATGATGAATGGGTGTCGTGGCCTGGCTCATACGCCATGTTTATTCTGTTCTCGGACTTCTTCCTTCTCGGCTTCTACCAATCATCGCTTCATACGTCACACGATTTCCCTCCCCCCGAAAGAAGGCATGGATTACTAACAAAAAACAGTTAACAAGTAGAGGTTAAAAAGTTACAAATGTCGAAAATTCACAATTGGTTCTATGCTTCAGGGGAGTTCCGTAAACTTTCAAAGACTTCAGGGGAAAGTGCAGCAGTCCGGTTAACGCAGGAGTTCTGGTGGGCGAGGCTGGTGGTTGCGTCCTGGATAACACAAAAATGCTTTGGACATGGAAACAGATGGAAATACAGCCGGTATTCTTGCAAAGTACGAACGAGGTTGGAACGCTCTACATGAGTGAATGTTTCGTAGGCGTCGCAATTTTTGTCGTGGGTGATACAAACGTCGTGCATGCAATTTGCGCGCCCGTTGATCGTGGCTGATTAGGCGCTGCTTGTGTTCCTGCAGAGCACAAGTGGTTGTTTTGTGGAGTTTTGGGAGTTTTCTGTGGTGATGACGCAGATGTTCAGACCGAAGGCGCAATCTTGAACGCTGGTGCAGAAAAGTTCCTTGGCTTTTCTTTCTGCGAAGATAGCTCAGATGCGGAATCAGTCTTTTCTTTAGTGTATGTTGATCACGACACTCTTCAGGCTGTAAGTGTCCTTGCGATGTAGTTTTAGTTGTTCGTTGCCGATGTTGGTGTGGGTGTTTTAGCTGTTGGGGTTCCCCTTGTTGCTTTTGTTGGCATTGCTGATGTTGCTGTGGAACGCATTGCGGTGAGATACCTTCTTGAACATCGCGCTCGTTTTCTTCACAACTTGATGTGGGGCCCAGTCGGCAGCTGGTAGTTTGTGGGCTGCTGTCATGCACTTCGGGCAATGAAGATAATGCTTCAGAATTGGTAGAAAGCTTTTCAGAAGCTTCTTCTACCCTGTTCACTATAAGAGGCTCTTGCACATTGCAGCGTGCGACGTTCGATGCGTCGGAGCCTTCGGTGTTTCTTCCACTGTCGAGTGTGTATGGACTGGATGGCGATGCGTGAACCCGTGTGGAAGGGGCATGGCTCGACAGGGTATTTTCCCGATGCGCCAGGTCATCTACCATAAATACGGCGTCCTTATAAGGCAAATGGTGAGCGTTAGGAGCGCTTGAAGAACCGCGTCATGAAAACCCAGGTGGTGGACCACGTATGCCAGACGAAGAGTGAACGGCATCAGGTGGTTGGGCAACGTCTCGGGTCATATGCTGAAGCGATTACTTCGCAAATGCTGACTTTCGTGCAGAAGGGAGGCACGCTCGATGGCTGTGTTTTTCACAAAATACGCGTTGCCGTCTGCCACTGAACTCGTGTGCCACTTCGTCGTTTGTCAGAGGTCGAATCTTGTTGTGCGTTCGAATGGTTGAAGACTGCCTGTAAAATTGATGACTGAGTGCAGTTGTCGGTGGATGGTGGGTTACAAGCAAGTCTTCGTCGTAGTGGTCGTCGTATTTTTTAAACCAAACGATCATTTCTTGTTTTATCTTTTGCCAAGACTCATCGTTGTCGAATATGTGAGTGAGGTAAAGTTTAAATGCCTCACCAGTAACGTAGTCGCTGAAGTTCGTAACCATTTCCCGTTTCGACCAAGATGCAGCGGTAGCGTGGATCTCGAACAGGTTGAACCTGTCCTGTACAGGTCCATCGTCCGCTGCTCTGGTGTACTTGGGGATGGGAAGGTCGGTCGATGATTCTGTCATGGTGCTGGTCGCTGTGTGCGGCTATAGGAGATGATTCCGTAGTCGTTGTATGGTCAGGGCGTCTTGTGTAGAACTGCGTCGATGATGAGACACTGATGAAGTGGCTGGGAGGTCTTCATCCTGTCGACTCGTGTGACGCTATGATGAATGGGTGACGTGGCCTGGCTCATACGCCATGTTTATTCTGTTCTCTGACTTCTTCCTTCACGGCTTCTACCAATCATCGCTTCATACGTCATATATATATATATATATATATATATTCCTGCTCACGGCAGGTTATTTTTTCATCCCCTTTTCTTTTTTCTCATTGACATTCCATTGGTTCTAATAACTTCCCCTGTACATTCCTTGGCATTACTCTCTGTTAGATCTCATTATTATTGTGTTAAAACACGGGAAACCGAGCCCTTAGGTATACACTTCTTTCCCTTATATATATATATATATATATATATATATATATATATATATATATATATACTATGAGACCACGTCCGGTACGGCAGCAACCAGGTTATCCTTTTTTAATCCAGACGCACGAGCCAGAGAGCCAGCCCGCGTGACATACGATGATGATCACTACAATGGTTTGGTCATACAGATGAAGATGAAGTACATAGTCAGCGCTCACACTATTTTCCGATGAAGTACATAATCAGCGCTCACAATATATATATATATATATATATATATATATATACACACACACACATATATATATATATATATATATATATATATATATATATATATATATATATATATATATATATATATATATATATATATATATACGGTGAATGACGCTGACGTCGACACCAGCCGCAGAATCCAGCGAGAATCCAGCAATAAAGAAGCCGCGAGGAGCCAGATGAAGACAATATGGTGGCTGAGAGGTTGCTGAGATGTTTTTCCGACGAGGCATTTAACCAAAGTGTACGCAGTGTGAGCCCTTGCTTCATCCTAGTGAAGTTTACAATTCCCCACAAGTTAGGGCCCATTTCGTTGAATGTGTTCTTTTATGAGCGTCTACGAAACACTTCTGCAGTCTTCAGCAGTCACAGCCCCGTAGGAATTGACTGGGTGCAGGACACTTCCTTGTGTTTGAAAAATGCGATCACTGTTATGGCTACCTTTCTGCTTTAGCCCACATCGATGCATGGAAGCTATGACATGCGAGTTCATGTTGGAGGCGCTACCGCAACGGACTGAGTGATGTGAAATCTGGCGAAAATTTATGGAGTCACAATGTCAACGAACTATGCGAAGAGATGACGCAGCCAGCGCGCCGTGAAAACTGTCTGACCGTGTCAGAGTCGCTATTGAACAACCCTCGTGCTACAGCCCAATTACCTGCGTCTGTCTGTCTCTGTCTCTCCCACTTCACTCTACCTAGGTGATGGTTAGAAGGCTACTACTATGTCCTTTATGCCAACATGTCTTTTATTGCAAATGAGTTCTGTGGAAACCCGCAAGGTGGTGGAAGGGTTAAGAAAGAGAAATAAGACCCTGAACCAGGACAAAATTTTTGGCAAATAAGCTTTTTTTCCGAGAATTCGTATGGATTTTCTTGTGGCTTCGGGCTACAAAGGGTGGTTGTCTTCTTTCCGTTTCTGAACCATGTCTTTTATTGTACGTTTGACTCCATTCTCAGTCTGTGTTTTTTCTATAATCTTCTCCTTCTTCTATTTCTCCTCTTCCTTCTACTGCTACTACTGCTGCTGCGGGTGCTACTACTACTAACTTGTCCTCGTGTGAATTGAATTTTCGCACAAGACATGCGGTGTACGTGCTTCTCGCAGGTCTATTTGGACAGCATTCTGACTCGCTCTGACGACATCGCGATGGACATCAAAGCTAACGTGACGTTCCGGAAAGTGCTGGCCCGCCTCGACGTGCACTTGGCTCCAGTGGTACGACGCAGTGGTGAACCTGACCGTCGGCGCCACCTTCAGTGACCTCCGTTCGACCTTCGAAGGACTCGCCGAGACACCTGAAACGCAGAAACTTATCTGGGGCTACGAAAAAACGGCGAAGGACATTGTCGCTCGGGCCATTACCGTAAACGTAGCGAGTGCGTTGACGAAAGCCGCGTCAGAGCTGGTTTTTCCTTGCTGTCACAGCTGATGACATGCAACGATTAGAGAAGATGTTAAATGAAATCCGCATAGCTTTACAATTGATTGCCGCCAAACAATCTGCCTCTAAGTGTGAGCATGGATATTCACGCTTATTCCAATAAGCACTCTAAAGTAGGCCTATAATGTTTTTCTTCAATTTAGCGTGAGAGAGCCAAACGCATTCCTTGAAATAAAGGCTGTGCATGGTAACTGTGAGGAAGCACCCTTCCCAGGGCTTCCATACAAAAGAGTTTTACTGCCGGAGACCCCTGGCCATTGCGTCAACAAGTTCTAGTATCCTATCGTGAAAGTCCCTGGTTTCTTTTGCTCGACAGTCCCAACCAAAAAGAGCATATATGATAACAAGGATTTGCGTACGCGGACACTTAGAGGCCCCAGCGCTAAAGGTTGGTAATAGACAGTTTAGTCGGGCTTCCAAAGCAGCTCTACGGATGCCAACATGAAGCCGACCAATAGTACATGCAAACGATATAACTACACCAGGAAGGAAAAACTGGGTGACCCTCAAGCTGGCGGTCCCACTCAGGTGACAACCGTTCCGCATTTTACGCATTATTTGCGGACGCACTGTGTTCGCTGCTGCTTAACGAATAAATTTCAATTATGTTAAACCAGAAACCCTATCCTATCCGCTTTACAATGACATCTGGTGTTAATACCACAATAATACCACGTTAACTCATCACACAATAACAATATCCCATATCGAATGAATACAGATCTCGTCAAGATCTACAGTCATCCACAGTATTCAACTATCCTTCGCGAGCTGCATTCCTTTCTGTGTATCTTCACCGTATAAATGAATGAACTTAAAAGAAATAATTCCAGCATCTCTACAAAGTGGTTGATGGTGGGATGGGCGAAGCTCCAGTGGGTTTTCAGTGACACCGTAAATCCTCCGAGGGGCAACCGGTGGGTTCCGCCCTGCGCCGCGCACGCTTCGCTGCCGCTTCCCGCTCTCGCATTCCGGGGTCCCCTTCTCGTTGAGCCCACTTGGCAGCGTCATCCTTGGCACGCACCGTCTTCAGATCCGCCCGGCCGTAGCAGCCAGTCTGAGAGCAGCGGCACCTCCAACGCCATCTAGTGTTTAGTCACCCAACCACCATATTGCACACGGATGGACGGGTGGATTGATATGGCTGTACCCTTGAGATGGGGCGGCGGCTAGCGCCACCTAGCCGTCATACTTAGTGAACCAACAACTTGATTTATCTTTTTTCTTCCTTAAAATAGTGAAGTTGAGGACTGATACTTTGCAGTGAAGGAATTATTTTCACTCGTGCCTTGATTTCAGCCACCAATCATATAACCTCCTTCTAATTATTTCTACCCGCTTAAAGTCTATTTTTCCTTTGCTGTCCCTAAACCCCAGTGCTTTGAAAAACTCTGCGCCATCATCATGAACTATAGGGTGAAGACCCTTGCAGGACATTATCAGGTGTTCGGCAGTTTGCTCCTCCTCTCCACACGCACTGCATACCGTGTCTACCCCTTCGTAATTGGCCCGATAAGTCTTGGTTCGCAATACTCCCGTCCTGGCCTCAAACAGTAGAAAACTACCCCGAGTATTACCATAGATCCTTTCCTTGGCAATTTCCTGCTTAAAAGTTTGATAGATCTCTAGTGCGGACTTCTTAATCATGCCAATTCTCTACATATCGGTCTCCGTTTCCTTCACCTTCTTCTTAACCGATAGTTCTTTTTGTTTGGCCCCCTACTCTTTTCTGAGTACTTACCCGTCAATTTTCTGGTTTGCTTCCTCCATTTCGTATCGACATTCATCAGTACAAGTAGCTGAAAACCTTCCTAGCCCCACGCTCCTCCCCCCTTTCTCTCAATTCTTCTCAAATTTTATCTCGCTGCTAGCTTCCCTGCCCTCAAATGATGTCCGTCCCATATCAGCTTGTACTCCCTGATTTGGTGTATTCCCGTGAGCTCCTGAAGCAAGCCTACCTATTCCACGTTGCTTCATTTCTAATCTTGCTTGAACTTCTGATATCATGCACAAGACCGCATTGCCGAACGTCAGACCACGAACCATGACTACGAACCATATTCCTCTCACAACATCATACCTATTGTAATTCCGAAGTGCCATATATTTTTCATGACTGCTGCATTCCTGTTACCTTTAGTCGTCACGTATATTTCGTGTTCCCTTAGGTACTCGGTCCCATTGCTTATCCATACGCCCAGATATTTGTACTTATCTGTTATCTCTAGTGTGACCTCCTGTATTCTAAGCTCACTACCTTCATTATCATTAAAACTCCTGACTGCTGATGTCTCCTTACTGAATCTGAAATCTAACCTATCTCCCTCATTACCGCAGATGTCCATCAATCTCTGCAAATGTTCCCTGTTGTCGGCCATTAGCACTATATCATCTGTGTACATCAATGCTGGTTGTGTCTGTTCAATCAGTTTTCCTTGTTTGACGAAAAAGAGGCTGAAGCCAAGTCCACTTCCCTCTAATTTGGCCTCTAATCCTTGTAGGTACATCATGAATTACAAGGGTGACAGAGGAAACCCTGCCTAAGCCCCCATTTTATCTCTGTGGGCTTGGATACCTGTTTTTTCCCATTTTATAACGACCTTGTTACTTTTATAGATATCCTTTAAAAGATTAGTGACTCCATCTTACACACCTAGTGTGTCCAGTATTCCACATAAGTCCTATTGAACCACGCTATCGTACACTCCCTTGATATCCAAAAATGCTAGCCCCAAAGGCCTGTGTTCCTTTTCTGCTATTTCGATGCACTGCGTCAGTGAGAAGAGGCTGTCTTCCAACCTCCTGTGCTTCCGAAATCCTTTCTGGAGTTCCCCCAGCACCCCCTGATTCTCAATCTATGCCAGCAGTCTTTCCTTTATAATCTACATCGCCAGCCTGTAGACCACTGATGTCACTGTTATAGGACGGTAGTTGTTTAAGGCAGCTTTGTCCCCCTTTCCTTTATAGGCCATGCTCACCTAATAAGGTTCCATCCCTCGGTGACTTCCCCATTGATTATTGTTTTGCTCCCTGCCTCTCTCAAAGTCAACTTAGACTTGGGTCCCAGTGCCTTTATCAGAGTAATTGGGATGCCATCTGGGCCTGTTGATGTACTACTAGAAACCCTCTTCTCAGCCCTTTCCTAATCTCGTTGTGAAAATGGAGCCACTGCGCCGCTTGATCCATCCTTGTCTATTAAGGTGCATAGGAAACTTATTTGTTGAAGTTTTTCTGTCACCCTTGTTCTTATATATTCTATAGCTTCGTCCCATTTTAGCCTAACACCTGGAGCTGTAGTTATAAACCTCTCCTCTAGGGCTTGTCTCATTTTTCAGGGAGTTTAGATTGTTTCAAAATTTTGTAGCTGCCTTTCTATCCTTTTTATGTACTTCTGCCAGCCACTGAGCCCCTTTCTTCTAATTTTTTTATTGATCGGAAGGAATGCTTCCCTTCTACAGCTTAGAAAGATGTCCCATTTTCTTTCAACATCATCGGTTGGTTCACCACACTGCTTAGCACACCTGTGTTTCCTAGAGGCTTCCTGACGTTTTGCTATAGCTCTTTTAACTTCCTGATCCCACCAACTCTTCATTACGTGTCTCCTTTTTCGGGTTGATCTGTCACGTGCCTTATCAAGCTTTAGTTCAAGCACTCTACTTAGAGTCGTGTACGTCCACACTGTTTTATTATCCTCAGTAATTACTTTTTCAATTTGTTTAGTAGCTATTTCTATTTGCCTTTCTGAATAAAAGTTTTCTGTAGTTGCTCTACTTGTCTCCTTCCCACTTTCACTGCTCTTCCAAAACTTAGCTTGATACGTTGTGATCACTACCCACACTTCTAAGTGCATTCTAAGTGCGTTGTGATCACTACCCATTCATCTAAGTGCATTCCCCGGAGCCTATCATAAAGGCTGTTTGACATCAGTGCGTAATTTATCGTCGACTGAAGCCTTCCTACTTCCAATGCGATTTGCCCTTCACACTTCTCAGCACTGTTTCAAATGAGCAAATCATGCCTTTCACAAATATCCATGATCATTTTGCCTGTTGGGTCGGTATACTCATCTATATCTGCTATGTGCGCAATCATATCTCCTAGTATAATTATCTCAGACTCTCCTCCTAATTCCTCAGTGTCATTTGTTATACACCCTACCATTACTTGGTTTTCCTCTTTGGCCTTTGCTCCCGTCCACAAGTACACCAAGCCAAGGAGTGTCATCTGCCCAGCTACTTTCCCTTTTAACCATAAATGTTCCGTGCATCAATGCTTGACTTTTTGTGAACACATACTTTTATGTATGAATGCCCCGATTACACCTCCCTTTTTGCTGCCTTCTGTTCTACTGCAATATTCCCATACGTAGTCCGGATTGCGAGGTTGTTGCCTTATGTCCCGAAGATGTGTCTCCACAACCTCATGTATCATCAGCTCCTCCTGCCTTAATTGTTCTTCTATCTCTTCCCACTTCCACTTCAACCTATTCCTGCCACCCTGCCTGTTAATATAGCCTATGTCCGATTTAGCTCGGCTCTTCGTGCTTACGTCGATTTCCTCTTCCACGGACCCCACGTGGCTTGAATATTGGTGTTCCTTTAGAATTGTCTTTGGATACGCTGTCGGCCTCAAGGCTCTGGGTCTCTCTAAAAAAGCCATGCCTTGACGACCTGTCTTATTACTAACTCTCCAGCCCGTCACACCACTGTAATGAATACCATCTTGTGCAAAGGGGCGAGCGCCGGTCTCTCACACCTCTTGCTCCTCTATGGTTCTCTACGGACATCTCTATAAGACACCGCCATCTAGTAAACTAGCCGAAAAATGGTGATGACAACACAAAACACGTACAGCGCCATCTAGCATATTATCACCCAACTGCAGTTTGCATGCTTTTCTGCGGGACAGCGCCATCTATTGTATGATAAGTAAGACGTTTCTGATTACGCCGGAAGCACGAGGGATTACCTTAGACCATGGGGAACCTCGCCGCTAAAAAACAAAGGTGAGTGCAGGTGCATGCCCGCACACCAACAAAACTATTTTTCGGAACTTCTTTCTATAGTGTGGCGCTAGCAAACAGAAAGGTCACCGCTACACGTGATAGCTGAAGATTTGCGTGACTGTCCCACATTAGCACCTTCAGTGGCTTTTTTCGATGCAGTGAATGATTTTGCTGTCATGTGCTCATGAGAGGCTATATACACAAGAACATCGGTCACTCAACACCACCTAAAAAGCGTCACACGACGGCTTGCTTGTGGACACGTGTTGGATATGCATGTCTCCTAACACCTCCCGTGAAGGACATGAGATCGCAGTTGTGGGCTACAGTGCGGCCTAATCCGCGGTGAACACGCACTGGCGCTCACTCGCAGCAAACATCAGGGCGCGAAACTGCAATGTAAAACTGTCAAAGCAACCAACGGTGTGTCAATAGCGCCGCAGCAGCATTTTGTGAAAGCTTGCACTGTGTGATGCCGATCGGGACGCGTCACAACGCTGCCTGCGGCGAGCACCTCGATCCGCATCTCAGCGGGGCTTTGTTGTGCCACTCACGAGTTTTTTTTGTTGATCCAGAGAATATTGCCCACTTGATCGCCCTCTGGTTCCCGGCCTCGTGTTGCTTACGTATGAAAACGCAGACGAACAGGGATCTGCGCAGCAACCTTCAGTCGATGAGACGTGTTCTCGGAAGCCAGCGACTTCGTCCTGACTCGTTTCCAACAAGCAGCTACGGTCTATTCGCGTTCTATGCGTTCAAACGCGCGAGGAAAACAAAAGCAAAGAAAAAAGCGATTGCACACAGCAGACTGAACAAGAAAACACTGGTACTGTGGCGCTTACGAAGGAAAGGTCATGCCATCGCTGGCAGGGACATTTGACAGTGACGGCTCAATTGATTTATATGTGGGGTTTAACGTCCCAAAACCACCATATGATTATGGGAGACGCTGTAGTGGAGGGCTCCGGAAATTTTGACCACCTGGGGTTCTTTAACGTGCACCCACATCTGAGCTCACGGACCTACATCATTTCCGCCTCCTGCCCCGCCACGGTGGTCTAGTGGCTAAAATACTCGGCTACTGACCCGCAGGTCGCGGGATCAAATCCCGCCTGTGGCGGCTGCATTTCCGATGGAGGCGGAAATGTTGTAGGCCCGTGTACTCAGATTTGGGTGCACGTTAAAGAACCCCAGTTGATCGAAATTTCCGGAGCCCTCCACTACGGCGTCTCATAATCATATGGTGGTTTTATATATAGCGCACAACAATGTCACCAGATATGCACGAGTAATCGACGTGAATTCGAACCTGCATCTTGCCTAATTCGATTTATAGAATCCCGCAAGGGAGAAGAAAAAAAATTGCCACCCACATAATTCGCATCAGAATGTGAACCTACAGCGTTTATTCCGTTTTCCTGGCACAGCCAACACGTCACTCTTTTTCACAGAGTACCTGTTTCTTAGGCGCCGATAACATAACATTGTTGCCACAAGGATGAGTGCAATGTGCACACAATTATTTGAGATGGAAAACGTGAAAACTGGTTTTGTGATGCGCAAGGCGAATACTGTTCACAAGATTCCTTTTACAAGTGAAAGATTATATCTAGCACGAGATATTCAAAAGGCTTATAGCCCTTGCGGGAAAATGAGGATCATGTGATGCTTGGCGTGTATTTGCAAGATGTTCTTTCTTTCTTTCTTCCTTCCTTTCCTTTCCTTTCCTTCCTTCTATTGTGTTTTTTTTTCTCAAAATGAATAACGGCTTAGAGTACGACACGCTGTATCCGCCCGTAGAAAATACTCAAACCAACTAACCGCCCCTATCTAACAACATCTGTCGGCGCATCTCGAGGCGTTGCTGCCAAATCAAGTGAAGCACTTGAGAGTCAACATGCTTGGGCATATCCCGGCTATACAGCTCGAACGTGGTCCCTGCAACAGTTTTTCAGCATGCATGGTATGAAAACGCGGCGCATCGACAGTTGAGGCTTTTGAGAGCATGTTATCTCCACATTAAAGCACGGCATGCGGCCTGGAGCTTACACACAATTGTCAAAGTCATCTAGAAATCGCTCTCGGCAAATGGTGCCGTTATACAAATGATCGCGTGGTAAACATTAAGTTCACAATGATTTGAGCACCATGAGGTGCATAGTTACCATGGGCGCCACACGATGACGCGACGTGTTCACACTGCACTCTATAGCGCTAGAATTACACCTTGAGTATAGAATTGCGCTATATATTGGCCACGAGATCGAGCAGAGTCGCCGCCTGGTGGCAACTTGCCGAAACGGTGAAGTGCGGATTGCTCCTTGCGTCGTCTTCTAGCCACGTCGTGTTTCTATGTGTGCGTACGTCACGCACGTTCTCAAAGGGTGGTTTGTCCACTCATGTCAGCGTGAGTGTAACTGCTTCTATGTATCCCTGAAACGGCGCACAAAAGCATTTGGTCTTGCTTGGCTGCTGGTGCATTGTAATAAGATAAGCGAGCGCAACTTTCCAGAGTGCTGTTTATTGTCATCGTACCCTTCATTCACCAAAATAATTTCAGAGTGGGTGCCGCTTTCTGTTTCAAGCACATCGCATAATGCTCTTGGCATGCTCCCAAACATGAGGACTGTTAAAATCGGTGTGAATGAAACGTTTTATAGCGACTCATTTGTAAAAAAAAAAGGCTCTACGTTATGCACTTACGCACTGTATGTAGGTCTACAACTATGGCACTGTAGGCTATTGTTCATGCGAGGAACCTTAGTTGTATTTTTCTGGCCGTGGTACCACTACATAGAAATATTACTACCACATAAACTGTGACACAACACTATTTAAACTGTACATGAAATAGAGTTACTGTGTGCAACCATGCGCTTATATTTAAGAACGCTTTAGAGAGCCTATACGTTGAAAATTAATTCAGGCGGCATGACTTGTATCTATAGTCTTATAATTTCACTGAAAATTACATCTTTTTACATTGTTTTAGCATCAGTGTGGCATTGTTAGTGACCGACGGAAAGCAGTGATAGTTTTTTGTGTGACAAAAAGAACATTCTTGTCTCATTAACCAGGCATTTGCTCTGTAGCACCGTCATACACGTAATTCATCGATGAAAGCTTTCTGTCGATCCTACTATTTAAGATTTTTACTGGTTCAAGAACATGTGCGTACACGTAGTAAACACAGTGTAGCGCGAAGCGCCGTCGTCCACCTGATTCCCTGACTATACTTATCGACTGTCCCACAATTCATGATGAACAAAATGAGAAAAAAATTATATGCGTGTATAAGGTGCAAATGGTGGTACTGCACGAATCGCACAGATATGCGGGCTTTGTACGGTCCTTCTTTCTCTATTTTTTTAGTAGGCAGATGACGAATATATCAATAAGTAGTTGAGTCATGCTACAGAAGTGCGCATCAGGTGGAACACAAGCTAACCACTTACAAACAACACAGAAAAGACGTAATTTAGTGCGACAGCATTAAGATAGTAACCCAGGGCAAGCATCACTATAAATGGCCGAATTCGCTTTACTCGTGGGTAATGTTAACGTTGCATAGGCGTCGTGCATCGATTCAGTAGAGAACAGCACAAATATTACTGGCGTGCTTTAGCCTCAACTAACACAAACACAAAGTAAAGAAACACTCAGCGACAAGCACAAGTCTGAGCCACTTGTGCTTGTCGTTGAGTGTTTCTTTACTTTGTGTTTGTTATTTGCGGCCAAAGCATGTCAGTAATGAAGTACCAACTGGGCCAACAATCAGTATGGTCACAAGCGTAGATATTAGCAGTAAACTGTTTTCAACGTATTTTAACCACCGACCATCGGCTCAGACCACACGCGACGAAGCGCCGCTGACTGCCTATTCACACTTACGCGGGGACAGTGCTGCCACCTATATATAGCCTGATCTCGCCGCGAATAAAATTACACTATCACGTTCATGATAACGCTCAAGGTAAGCTGTGCGTATAAAAAAGGTAAATTTCTCGAGGTTTAATGCCAAAACTAACCTGTATTTCCGTATTATTGCTGAAGGTTGTGGCATGCGCTGAGAAATAGACGTAACTTCTAATATCCTTGTCATTCCATTCTCCCCTTCCTGCGTATAGCTTTCAACCCGCTCGCTCAGAACAAAGTGCTTCGAGCTTGCGACAAATACTTGTACCTGTGCTCACACTTGACGGATTCTTAAAAAAAAAGAAAATTTGCGGCACTTTATTCGTAAGGTGATGAACTCATTTAATGAAACTGTTTGTAAATGAGTTGCACGGTCTCTTTGGGGACTATTCTCTTCTATAAGATGCTGCAGGCCTCGATGGTGACCTGTTTTTTTTTATTCGCACGTACCGCGGCAGCAGAATAATCAAATGGTATCCGGTTGTTGCCGGTGCCCTGTGTGAGCAAGTTAGGTGCCCTCCGGCGGCCCTAATGCCATGCCCCGGACAGCTGAGCGCGTCCAGCGATGTGGCTACCACCTGAGCGCCATGGCCACCATTGCTCGCTGGCCACCCGAGCAACGCGGGGTTGCCGTGCCGCGGGCGGCATTGAGGTGGGAACCGCCTCGCTTCCGCACAGTGAACAGCCGGGCATTACAGACAAAAGAGTTCACATTGCCAGTCCGGAACAGCTTTTAAGACTGGAAACTGCTGCAAAAGCGCTTACGTTACAAAATGTACGATATTCACAGCTACTGCGTTAACCGCAATGACGAAACAATGGAGCTTCTGGCGAGTTTTCGTAAAATTGGAGCTTTCTTTTCTTTGACCCCGCCACAGTGGTCCAGTGGCTAAGGTACTCAACTCCTGACCCGCAGGTCGCGGGATAAAATCCCGGCTGCGGCGGCTGCATTTCTGATGGAGGCAGAAATGTTGTAGGCCCGTGTGCTCAGATTTGGGTGCACGTTAAGGAACCCCAGGTGGTCGAAACTTCCGGAGTCCTCCACTACGGCGTCTCTCATAATCGTATGGTGGTTTTGGGACGTTAAACCCTACATATCAATCAGAGCTTCCTTTGTCGCTTTTACATGGTTTCCCACGCGTTCGTTCTCTTCTCTCTGTATAGCTTAATTTGTCGCCACTTCATAAGCTGCCGCCATTTCTCCAAGAGACCGTAAACAACGCTTATCAGGTTTATCGAAGAATAAAAAGGAAAGCTTTTTTTGTTGCTTTGAGTTCGGCAAAACTTCAACATTAAAAAAGATTTGTAACGCATCGGCTCACAGCAGCTTCGACGGAGCAGCGGAAAAGCTATTCTTTTTCGGTGAAAGAAAATTGCTTTCGGAAGCAGCAAATGTTTTGACCAGTTGAAAAAAAAGTTTGCTCGTTCCCACCCGTGGCTGCAACGACCCGTCACGGTAAAATAAAAGAATGAACAAGTGATGCAATATTATAGGGTCCCTGCTGAGCGCTAGCCAGCTCTGCAGTACTACAGCAGAAGGCGTGAAAGTGCCGCATAGGCGGCCCATACCTTACGCTAAGAGCCTAGAAAAATCAGTCACTGCAGAAACGGTGGGAAACATTTCAGTATATTGTAATGTTCTTTCGTAAAATTTTCAGGTCCTCCTTCGTAAGAATGTAATTGAGTGATTACTGTGGTGAAGAAAAAACTTCGCCTTAGTTGGTTTCCCCAGCGTGGCAGCCAATAGTGACGACTGTTGAAGGGTGGTATACTCAGTTCTTCTAATTTTTCTCAGTGGGTACGCTCGCAACCCCCTTGCCCTTCCCAGGCTGACTGCGCCTATGAATATGCTAATAATTCACTGTCAGATGACAACAAAGGCACGTACCCACTTCATTTTCTTTTTTGTGGGAGCGAGCGGAAATCAACGACTTTTACTTTTGGTGTGCATTGCAAGAGTTTGTATGCCTGCGTTTTATGCCTATTTCAAAGTGTAACCTATAACTTTTGTTTCTTAATGCCAAAGCACTATAATATATAGATATCATATTGACGTTACCGCGGTAAAAGTGTCGCTCTAAGTGTTTCGCTAAACGTTCAGCCAACAGGCTCAAGGCTGAAGCTTGATTTGCAGGCAGAACCACAGCAAGTTCGAGAAGCGACGCCGGGACAATGGGCATCAGCGAGATAATATTCTTGGTGCAAACGTGTAAGGCCATGTCCCAGAAGCTGTACAAGGTGACTGCACTCCGCATGGTCGTGCAGCACATTATTACCATTCGTGGTACATGCTCGTCATGATCACTGGGTTCGGCGTACAATATTCCTTCGAATGGGCATGCTTTACAGAAACTTAGCTGAAGATTTACTGCCCTGTTAATGACTAATGATTGCACAGAAACCGATGATATGCATTCGTTCAGCAATTGTTCATTCTGCGGCGATACCTCGCAACATTTGCTAGCATTACCAATATCAGTACACCAATCAATCTTATTATTCGACTCATGATCTATTATGCCTAAGAGCGTGACTGATGTTTATGGTGGGAGGTCGCACTCTGTTCAGACCATTAATTTTTCTTTCATCATGCAGGTTCCATAATTTCGTACACGGAAGGGCACTACAAGTCCCCATGGTTGTCAAACGAGAACGTCAAAAAAAATTGTTTAACAGGTAAGTGATATCGTAACTTGAATTCTGAAAGTTTATTCCCCTAAATAACGTTCGTGCAACTAGAGTTCGAAGTTACCTACAAAGCTTAGGAATTTTCACTTGCGATCGAGATAGCAATCGACTAGCCATCTGTTGTCGTATTTACTGCAGCTACTTCGAAGCTGTCTTGATCGGACATTGCTTGGTGCCACGTCACATATTCTTTTTGTACTCCCGCACGAATAAACTTTTGCAGCAAGAACCACAAAAGGGTTTATCAGTTATTGACCACGCACCAAAACATACAGTCTTTGCGAATGCTTATCGTGAAAAATCAAAGTTCATAAGCTATAGCTGGTGTGACGTGAGGGTTTCTTACAATGACTTTAATCAAACTTTTTCAGTGAGGCACTGAAGAACATGTATCATAAAGAACGACAGTGACATTTAAAAAGCTCTGACCTAAAATATTTTTATCATTTTTTCTGTTTTTTTGCAGTGTGCTGACAGTTTTCTGTTCCTTGTGAGCTGTGACCGCATCCTGTTTATGTCGGAGTCGGTGCAACAGACGCTCAACTACACTCAAATGAGATAAAAAATATCCGCGGCATTCTCTCACACGCATCTCGGTCTGAGCATAGAAGACATGGTTGATCCCTCTTTTTGGGAATCATTATAACACAAAATTAAAACGCGTCCTCGCCAAGGTAGTTGGTTATTCATTGTATATTGTTTCGTCACAAGGGCGACAGAATGAATGCGGCTGTAACAAATTGCAATGTTACGTGAAGAACGGCAAGCAGCCCCAAATTAGCTGCGCGTACCTCAAGCAGAACGCACGCACAAATTGAGCATATACAGGACGAAGTCGGACAAAGAACTGTCCCAATTTTTTTACTTAGTGTTTGAGCAGCTCGTTTTTTTTTCGTAAACATGCCACGATAGTGATCAAATTGACGTTGGTAGTCTCTTTAACTACTGTAACTTCAAAGCAAACTTTCGGTGGAAGCACAGAAGGTACAAAGCACCCAAATCCCGAGATAAGCGTGCGCGCGAGTGAGCCAGTGCGCTAAAGAACATATAACGCACTTTTGGCCTCGTCAACCACGCTATGTGGAGGCGCTAGGGAGCCTTCATGGGTTTGCGCCTCGGAACCACGTCAACCACGCTATGTGGAGGCGCTAGAGAGCCTTCATGGGATTGCACCTCGGAGCCACGCCAACCACGCTATGTGGAGGCGCTAGGGAGCCTTCATGGGTTTGCGCCTCGGAGCCGGCGCGCACGTGCACCGCCAGGCTCGGGTTGGCTGGCAGGACGACCTTTCGAGCACTCCCTCCCAACGTGCCCCCGTCGTGTCATATCTCTACTGATTACTAAAACGTGCTGAAGTTTCCGAGCTCTGAGGACTGCTAGCGGTACATGGTGTATATAAATGGTTATCCGGTAACATGTCGGAGAAGGGTCGCTCTGTGGTTTTGTGGTTAGGCGTCGCGCATTGTGGAGTGCGAGGTCACTGGTTCGGCGCCCAGCTGCGGTACCTTTCCTTCTCGTTTTTTTTTCTGTGCGATCTTTAGAAAAATATTCACAACGTCATATTCGTGACAGAAATACGTCACGGGGCCGTAGTGGACCTCGGCATAAAACACTTTCATGTTTAAAAAAAACGAAAATAGTGCAGCATTTCACTTACCTTGTTTTTCATAAAAATGTAGAAAACGACTCACAACAGCTGCGGTGACCAATGTTTCCCAGTCCGAGTTTGCAGCATGTCACTGAAAGAGAGAGAGAAGAATGTAAGGAGGAAGCATTGGAAAGTTGAAGTAACATTTTGTCCTCTGCAAATCCACTCGCAGCGATAGGTTTGAGAAAGGAAAGAGAGAGACAGAACCGGAGAAGAAAGGCAGGGATGTTAACCAAGCTTTGGCTTGGTTGGCTACCCTACACTTGGGATTGAGAACAAGCGGGAACGATAGAAAAGAACGGATGAAAGATGAGCAGTAAGAAATAGATGGATAATCACAATCGTGTTGCGTAGTTTCAATAGCAAGAAAGAAAGAAATATTAATAGTAAAGGGGACAATAGGATATAGTAATATAGATGTTCCTGTCTAAAGAAATTAGGTAATAAAGTATCACTACTACCCAACAGGAATCGCCACCTTCCCGTCAGAGTAAAACCAACCCAACCCTCACGCTTCACACAAGTTGTAGCAATGCGAATTTTGGCTCAAGACGCTAAACGCAAACTCGGACACAGAACTTGCAGGTAGAGACGCACTTGGCAATACTGCTCAGAACGTAGGATCTTGGATATCATCTCTCGGGAGGCTTCATTCTGTCACCAGCTCGCTTGTCTAGGATATGCAAGATCCTACGTTCTGAGGTGTACCGCCAAATGGGTCTCTACCTGCAAGTTCTGTATCCGAGTTTGCGTTTAGCGCCTACCTTTCTTGACGTCTATATCATCTTTTCGTGTGTTTTTTTCATGTGTGCACGTGATTACAAGTCTTGGCTCAGGGCGTGCTCCCGTTAAGTGCTGAAAGATTTGGGTTTTTCCCCGAAATGAGCCAATCAAAGTTACAGTGATGGTGTGTGTGAGCACGCGCGTGTGGGGTATGAGTATTGTTTCACTATAGCGCAGCAGGCATTACTAGTGCTGTAAAAAATACAAACGAGCAAATCCTTACAGATGACAGAAACCAAAAAAGAAAACACTGCCATAGACATACAATATTATGTCACCTAACTATCACGAAACCTCGCCGTTGTTGTAAGGCAAAGTGCTTATTGTGCATTATGATGTGTTATGTCGATTTATGCATTCACCATCGCAAAGGTTAATTTTCCATTCCTCTTTTTGGCATTCTCAGAGAGAGAGAGAGAAAGAAACGTCTTTCTTCACAAAAGCATGAAGAAGGAGAGCGTGGGAGGAACTCCTATTTCGGGGTCCCTCGGACGACTTCAGTAACGAGTCGGGCCCGCTGTATCAGAGCTTGGAGGACCTCGGGGATATCTCCTCGGACAAAGCTGGTTTGACGTTCTGCACCCAAGGACATCGCCAAAGTCAAAGAGCAACTCTCTTCGTCGGACCTGTGTCCGAAGAAAAGCCTATCGATGCAACGAGTACGTGCTTGTTTTCTAAGTTGCGCTTCGTTATAATGGCAGTACTCACTTAACAATTTGGACTCATAGCATTCTGTACATAAAAAATGAAATGAGAATGGGCATTAAGCTTGCGATTAGATAGTGTAATCTAACGCTTTTTATTGATTCCTTAAAGGTAGCTTTTGTAACTATACTGCGAACAACGGTTAAACGCTAGAAAAACAAGGCGTCGCACACCATTTTACGCGTGCTTCTAGTTCACACTATTTTTGACTGATAACCTTGCCGTTTAGTACCGGTGCCAACTAAATTAACGCCGTGCAACAATATAAAGCCGTATACAAACAAAACAGATAGGGAAACTTGGTGTCTTTTAACCTGGTTCTCACGCCACTGCACCCAGGACTGAGAAAGCAGTAGTGCAAAAATTAAAAATGGCGTTTTTCATGAATAGAAAATACTATTGTCGATGTACTGTAAAAATCCTGTCTCTAATCAGTTTTCAGTAATGAAAGCCTCAACTCCTGGAATTCTGCAAAAGCAGTTCATGGGAAGAGTGAAGGTTGAACAGAAGAAAATTGGTGAACACGGAGGGCCGCTCGCGTCGATGTTTCGGCCAGCGGACTTGCCTTACAGCCTTCAACTCAGACATCCTGTGCTCCCGATATTTAAGTCTTTTATAGCTGTGTAAAGCAGCGTTGTCCTTTTTCAACGTAAGTTTAGAATTCTGCTGTATGCACAGGTCGGCGAACTCCCTCATGAGTCGACTCTCTCAGACTCATATCGAGCCGTGAGCCTTATTCTGAGTGAGTCCGCGTGAGTAATAATTTGGCCAGTTTGAGACCGAGTGAGTCAGGCTCGGTAAAATGTTAGTGAGTCTGGGTTCGAGTGAGTCCAGAGCGCCAGATGTGTTTCATGAGTGAGTTTGAGTGAGCTGCACAACTTCTGCCGACCTATGACCCTATGTATTCGTCATGACACGTGACCTTTTTGCCCCGGTTCATGCGGCGATGCTGCTGCTGAAAAAGGAGTTTCCTCCGCAGCCCAGCAGGCTGTGTCCTGGTGCTCGTTGCTCCTTCTTCTGTCGGATGAAATGCAAGACGCAGGCGACCGTCAAGGAGGAGGCCGACACCACGACGGGAGGCCAGCGATGCCGAAAGTTGCACAGCTTTTACCGCCGATACTCAGTCATCCACTGCACTGGCTACCTCAAGTCGTGGGCATCCGCCAACCTCAGTTTGCCCGAAGACGCCCCAACGGATGACAGCGAAGGGTACGAAGACTACGCAAGCGCATTATAGCTTATAAGGGTGGTGGCAGAGGGTCGTCCTTGTTTTTCTACTTGTCCTAGTCTCTAGCCGTCACTTCACGCCATGACAATCATCATGAGTACACTATCTTTCTTTTTGTTGTTGTTGTTCCAAGCTGTCAGATTGGTTACGTAACTGTGTACGTAGTAAAGATGCCACTTGTAAAAAGACACGTTGCACGAGCTATCCTCTTACACTCCAAATATTTACCGAACAGTGGGGGGGGGGGGGGCATGACAGGTATAGAGGACATCGCTCTGATCACCCTCCTTCCCCCACCCTGCTCCAGAAAGTTGAGAAAGGTGTTCCAGGGAAGTACGCAGCGAGAAAGAGACAGACGACATCGTGTGGAACTGAACTGGCCTGTTCGTATAACCCTGTCTAGAGAAGTTTTCAGAGAACGAGCAAGAAAGATCGCACTCGCTAGACTTGCACTAAAAATAAGTCAAAAGCGCTGATGCTGGTGGTTTCGCAGATCTGGCTGGCAATCTTTCCTCCTCAGTGTGTCTTTTCATGTATTGTACTTCACCGGTACTTATGAGCTTCACTTGGGCTAGTCTTTGGCCGATAAGTTAAAAGTAATTACGGACATTTTCTACGAACCAGCCTTTTACGTTTGGGAAACAAATCTGTTCATTAGAAGGTTGAAGACACTGCTGCGTGACCATCGCAGACTTTACCTGCTCATTTCGCTGCCCGCGGCGTTTAAGAAATAAAATTAAGCTTACTTATGGCGTTTAAACTCATTTTAAAATAAGCTTACACTGCGCAGAGCTAGCAATGATTTTTGCCTCAATGTTCCGAATCTGCAACAAGAGTACGAGACACAGTTTGCGGGTAGTAGGCGAGAGTTTCATTGCGCCACATTTCTCACGTTATGGTTTGTTAACGTGTCGTTCAGGTCCGCATCGCCAGCCAATCAAGTCATGGCAAAGTCTGGTAGGTGCCCTGCCCACTTGATGAAAAGTTTGCTCCATCGGTATGTAATCTGTGAAGGAGCGTAAAAAGTATGACGCTGTCGACTAACATGCAGTACTTTCTTTCCTTGATTGCATGCAAATGCTTGCCACTGAGTCAAAAGATAGCCTGTAGCTTTACAAGGCTTGGCCTAACTTTTGCTTATGTGAATAATGAAACATTAGGTGTGGTAAAACGTCGTAGAATTATTACTGGTTGTTGTGGCGAATGTTATAAGTGTCCATATTGCATGGACGTTTTTTTTTTACACCGTTGCTTTTTCCGTATGTTCGTTTTTTCTTTCCTTATGCTATTTTGTACGCTGTCGAAATGGATCGTCAAATCCCGTGAAAACTGTCACATTTTCAATCAGAGAGATCGTAGCTGTCATGTGAGTCAATCGAAGTTGGCAAGACAGCAAACTAGACATGGCGGATTTTTACGGCTTTTCCAAAATCATTTTAATATGTGCCAACAAAGTTGTGAACAAAGCTGCCATGTAGCCGTCGAAACATTTTTTCCATCTAATTTCTCACACCTCTGTCCCGACTAGACAGGCTCCCATCATACCGTATACTTCACCTATGCAGAAGCCATCCGGTTTGAGCACAGAGGCCTGTCAACGTTACGGTTTCCTGTTTCACATCCAAACCAAAATCTTTCCTATATATGAGCTTCTACTCTATCAGTATATAAAACCTGTCAGCTGTGTCGATGAATAAAAACACTGATAACTTTGAATCCCAAAATTGATGCCGCCTGATTACATTAGAGTTTTGAGTCTTAGAGGACAAAATGCTTCTTGAAGAACGCTTTAACTGCTTCAAACGCCTTTGAAAGCTGAGCGTGGCAACACTTCACGGTCGCAACCCTCAAAAACAATCCAGGACATAGTTTGTAAAATAGTTCAGGCAAGGTAGCTTGCAATTTTGTGAAAACGTGTGTCCTGGAGTTTTAACAGACCACGGAAGTTTACTGCTTGGAATCGTACGTTATGGATCAGGCGGGAGTACAACCACATTTAGATCTTATGCTGAGCACACCTTATTACATGATATGCACTGGCGGATTGCAGTCAAAAATAAGCAACGGCTGCTTAGAAGTGCACAATGATGTTTTATTCTGCTGAAGTTGAAAACCAATGTATGAAGCTATTAAATCGCAATGAAGTTCTTGGTCGAGCGCAATCTTTTTGTTTCAGGTAGGGAAGGAAATAACAGCGCACATTATTGAGTGAATATTCATTTGAAGTGTTGTCAACCTTCGGTACGGGTTACTTCGATTAGGTTTTTATTTTTGAATGGCAGTAAGTTAAAGACTACAAGTGCTTATAATTTTTCGGACAGTACATTTCAAGACAGCACCATACCTGCGACGTTCGCGTAATGCTGGTTTTCGCACCATGTCGTAACGAAGCCACTTTGTGATGCGGTGCTGTGATCAGTTATTATTATTGGAAAACGACTGAAATTAGTACGCGCAGTTTGTGATGACTAGAGATTCAGCATCGGTGAGTGCACCAAGACACTAGAAAAAGCACTTGTGGTGACTCACAATTAAGCCATCACACTTCAGTGTTGTGTTACTTGCAAACATGGCCACATGCCGAGAATAATTAAGCCTTTAGTATACGCACGGTAATGGCTAAAGAGACCCGCCACGGTGATCTGATGGCTAAGGCACTCGGCTGCTGACCCGCAGGTCGCGGAATCGAATCCTGGCTGTGGCCGCCGCATTTTCAATGGAGGCGAAAATGCTTGAGGCCCGTATACTTAAATTTATGTTCACGTTAAAAAACTCGAGGTGGTCGAAGTTTCTGGACCCCATCACCACGGTGTCTCTCATGATCATATGGTGGTTTCGGACGTTAAACCCTAAGCAGTATTATTATTTGTAGTATGGCTGAAAAAAAGACATGTCGAACAAAGACTCTTTACACGTCGTGTAATACGATCACTGTCTACAGCTCTCACAGTGGGTACTTGTATCGCTTCCAAGACAGAGGTGACAGTTTTCTTTCAATTCTTTTATTTTTTAAGCGACGTGTTACTTACATCCTGGACCCAACAAATTTGTCAAAGGGGCCCAGGCAACACTTTTTGAGCATGGTCAGAAAATGCTGCTGATTAGTAGTAGAGGCTCCCGAGAAAATGCGAGACAAATAATATAGCGCAGCACGTGGTCTTAAACTCACAAAAAATTATCTATGTCAGCTCAAAATTGTTTCTCTTCTCTCTAAAATGACGGAAGACGCTCAAAATTTGCGCTTAGAAAGCCACCTATCAGCGATTGGCTGATTTGAACATGGTGTGCTTGTTCATTACAGAGATCGCCGTGAGAAGCCGCGACTTGTCTACGCGTGTGCATGCGATCACACGAAAAAAGCCTTGTATTCGAAGAATAAAAAGTGCTCATGTTAACGAGGTGAGCGTGACGCACTTTTTTTCCCGGCCATCCCTCTCTGCTTAGCCTCCAGCGCATTCACTGGGACGAGAGAAGGAAGAACGCGATTGCAGCATGCGAATATTCTTTGTAACTCCGCTCGTACTGGAGAGTTTCTTGATATTTTTGTGGCAATAAATTCGTGAGGCAATAAGCTCTTTCTGCGAATCAATTCTATGGCTACTTAAAAAAGTGTTTCAGGGCCCCTTTAAGTGGTCACGAACAATTCTAACGGCACAAGAAATATGCATTAGCAAATACATGAAACAAGTGTATTAACCATTACTCGTTCAAATAAGACTCTAATGCACTTGCACATATTTACTTCGGTAAGAGACTTTGCCTGTAGTTTTACGTTCTTCTTCTTCTTCCTATATTTGGACCTGGTAAACAGCTTCGTGAGTCGGGGCAACCTGACTGCCGGAAGTCAAGGCAACAGTGAAAGAAACGACGAGGCGTCCATGGCTCATCATTCCCATATTGTCACGGCGGTCATCAAGAGCTTGCTGCAAGCGGACGCTGGACTTGGTGAACCGGTGGACTTCAGTTGCATGCCGTAGCCCTTGCCTTGAAACACCCGTTCTCACTCCTGTTTACGTGGACCTCTCTCGCACCGTTTCTTGCGTCGGACAAAGAAGAATACAGCATCTATGGACACATGCGGAGACATTGCATCTAGTCTGTATTCACATAGAAGTGTATGTACGTTACCTCACAAAACTCTAAGTGACTCTTCGGTAAAAGCCGAGCCCATAAGAAAACGTTTCAGGGAACTGACGTCCATCTCTTCCAGTGCGGTTCGCGGTAACCCACGTGGCGTGCTTGTCGTAGAGTGCTAGTTTTATTATTTACGCTTCGTGTGTTTTAACAGCGAGTTCTGTTTTTATACAACGATGTTGTTATGCTCCCCTATTTCCCTGACCACGGACTGACGTGAGACCATGTTATACAGTCGCTTCGCAAGCATTGTTAGGATAACTTCTATACCCATGCTACACATTCCCTGAATGCGTAAACGCACGAATTTGCAATCGCACGCCTCAGAAAAAGTTTAACTAAGGAGCACTGTGATGAAGCGCTGCGCCGACAGTAGTAGAGATCACTTTCAATCGAACTGGAGCACGTTTGGAGCTGCTTGTACAGTATTCGTAAAACAAGCAAACAATTGTCTGATTTACCTCGTTTCTGCGTCATCTCTTTGCAAAGTGTGGGCCGATTCCCATACTTTGAGCCCTCGAAGGCACGTGATCTGATGCGGGCATTGGCTAACACACAGTTGGAAGTGATGGAGGTACAATTCTGTAGACGCATGATATTATATTTGACAAGTCTAGTCATCGCAGCCGTGTTGGCGAGATGATGTGATCTGTGATATTACGGAAAATACCGAAACACTTCTCTGAACGGTGTGCTTGAATCACGTTGTGTTTCAATCACGGATGATCCTAACGATAATCGTGAAGGCTTTCTTCGTGCTATAAATTCCACAAGCACATGACGATATGCAGCCAACCAAATTGAGCGATGATTCTGTGTTCGCCATGATGTGTTCGTTGCGATGATTTGAATCATAAAATAAATAACGCAATGATATTATATAGTAAATATGAGGAAAACCCGCGGCAAGTGTGCTCGTAAAATGAAGAATCGAATATGCGAATATCTGCCTCAAGGTCAGGGTCATTACATGAGGTCACCATGTTATTGTTTCATGGCCCATTGTAATAAAGTTTATTTGCTTTCTCCTGTTCAAATATACATTGTTTGAAAGATTATGACATGTTTGTGGCTATTGTCGTTATTTTTGTGCCATTGGAGGGTCATTTGCTGGAGCTCCACGACGAGCCATTCTGTGACAGAATAGGAAGATGTTTCTAATGAGCCTAACTCTGGGTACTCATCACACAGGTAACACACGACCCCGATTTGAAAGATTCTACTTAGCGATGGCTTGGAACTTATGAAACTTCATTGCAAAATGTTCACGAAGTAACAGTGCGCTACGAAGCTACCCAAGGGTGCTACTTTCTTAATTGGTGTGGTTATCGGTGAGCCTTACTAAAGCGAGTGAGTTCTACGGAATCCCGCAAGTCAGCGAAGGACTTATAAAAGGGAGAAATTTTACCCACACATTCGTAGCATAACCACGAGAAAATCCGCAAGATTTTTCGGACAAAGATCTCTAGTTGAAGGACAATTCGTCCTGCTTCCCGGACCAGGACGAATTTTTCTTCAACTAGAACAATTTGGTCTACATAATTTTATTTTGTTAATGTGAGGAGAGAGAAAGATAAACGAAGGAGAGAGCCGAGGAGGTTAATCAAGTGAGGACTTCCGGTCATTGGTCTATTCCTACTAACCGGAAATCCATGGCAGAAGAATGGCCCACACGGTAAAATGTCTTCACTAGTAGAATGGCGGCCTGACTTCTGCAAGGTGTGCTTTGGTTAGCCCAGGAGCTGAGACACACGACACTGAAGTGTGGCACCAGAGGTTCGAAACTCAGCAAAACCTCAAAGTTTTATTTTATGAGTTTATTTATCTTTAAGCTCATTAGTAAGATTGAAGAGATACGTCCTGCACTGCCTGGTTCTTTAGCGTAGTGGGTAGACACTCGAATTTGAAGCGTGGGGCCTAAGTTCGAAACTCAGTGCAGGCATTGCATTTTTTTTATTTGATACAGTGAATTTCTTCATGGCTGCATCCACGAGGTTCAGAGATCGTGTTGTTGTGCATGTCCTGGGCCTTTAGCCCAGTGGTTAAGGCACTCGCCTTTAGAGCGTGAGTCAGTGGTTTCGAAACTCAACGCACCCTACGAGTTTTATTTTGTTTTCTATATATGCTTCTTCAGTGCGATTTCTATTACGTGGCAGAGAGATGGATGGATGGAACAGACACCTTTAATCATCGAGGCAGCTTCTATTCCGTTGAAGTATATAGAAGCTCCGCTCACAGTCTCCTTTTCGGGTAGTGTAAGTAAACCAAGTCATCAATCAATGTTTATTATTCGAGTAAGAAAAATGGTAGCACAGTGTAGGTAAATATGCAAGAGATGTCACAGGTTACAAGCTGCAGGCTGGAGGTGATAATAGGCATGAAAATATTTGTAAGAAACTCTGTGATAGCGACTCAACTTTAGTGTGACGTCACACCGTGCGAAATCGGACCTCTTGTGCGCGTAGGAGCCTCTCGAGCAGAAGCTTCCCCTGATGCTTTGGATTTCCTGCAATGCATGTCAAAAAACAAGACGAAAAAGTTGGGGTTCTTATTACCCCTGATAAGGCTCAAGTTTTGCCTCAGGTAACAACTTCCAACGAAGGAAATAGTGTGCGTTTATATTAGAGCTCACAGAGACCAATCTTTCCCTGATGTGTTTGCTTTCTCTCAATGCATGTCCAATACCAGTCGAAAAGGTTGAGGCTCTTATCACCTCTGATAAGGCTCAACTTTTGTCTCACGTCACACCATGCAACGGAAGGTCATACTGTACGTTTATGTTAGAGTCTCCCGAGCTGAAGCTTCCTTCCTCTGAAGCGATGGCTTTCTCGCAACGCATGTCAACAATTGATTTGATTGATATGTGGGGTTTAACGTTCCAAAACCACAATATGATTATGAGAGACACCGTAGTGGAGGGCTCCGGAAATTTAGACCACCTGGTGTTCTTTAACGTGCACCCAAATCTGAGCACACGGGCCTACAACATTTCCGCCTCCATCGGAATTGCAGCCGCCGCAGCCGGGATTAACGCATGTCAACAAACAGCCGAAAAAGTTGAGGTCATTATCACAACTGATAAGGCTCAACTTTTGTCCGACGTCACACCACGCAACGAAGGATATATTGTACGTTTATATTAGTCTCCCATGCTGAACCTTCCTCTGATTTGTTGGCTTTGCCACAATGAATGTCAAAAAGTAGCCGAAAAAGTTGAAGCCCTTATCACCCCTGATAAGGCTCAACTTTTGTCGGACGTCATTGAATTTCTTTAGTGTTTCCGACATATACAAAACGAAAAGGTGCAATATTACGACCACCGGCTCAAGGCGTGATGTCGAACAAAAGTAGAGCCTTAGGGGTGATAAGGGCCTCAACTTTTTCGGCTGCTTTTTTGGCATTCATTGAGGCAAAGCCAACGCACCAGGAAAAGTTTCACCTTAGGAGACTATAAAAAAACGTGCAGTACATCCTTCGTTGCGCGGTGTGACGTCAAACAAAAGTTTAGCCTTATCAGGGGTGATAAGAGTCACAACTTTTTTGGCTGCTTTTTCGGTTTTCATTGAGGCAAAGCCAACGCATCAGGAAAAGTTTCACCTTAGGAGACTATAAAAAAACGTGCAGTACATCCTTCGTTGCGCGGTGTGACGTCAAACAAAAGTTTAGCCTTATCAAGGGTGATAAGAGTCTCAACTTTTTCGGCCGTTTTTTTTTATATGTATTGTGGGAAAGCCAAGGCATCAAGGAAAGCTTCAGCTCAGGAGACTAATATAAACGTACACTACATCCTTCGTTGCACGGTTTGACGTCACACAAAAGTTCAGTCTTATCAGGTATGATAAGGGACTCAACAACAGAGAAAGGTTCAGCTCGGGAGACTAATATAAACGTACAACATATCCTTCATAGCGCTATGTGACGTCAGACAAAACTTGAGCCTTATCAGGGGTGATAAGAACCTACCTTTTCCGGCTGATTTTTGACATGCATTGCGGAAAAACCATCGCATTAAGGGAAGCTTCAGCTCGGGAGACTCTAATGTAAATGTACAGTATAGGCTTCATTGCACTGTGTGACGTCAGACAAAAGTTTAGCCTTATCAGGGGTGATAAGAGACTCAACCTTTTTGGTCGCTTTTTTGACATGCATTGTGGCAAAGCCAACGAAAGAGGGGAAGTTTCAGCTTAGGAGACTAATATAAACGTATGACACATCCTTCATTAGACTATGGGGCGTCAGACAAAAGTTGAGGCTCATCAGGGATGATAAGGGCCTCATTTTTTTCGGCTGCTTTTAACATACATTGCGGGAAAGCCAACGCATTAGGGTAAGCTTCAGCTCGGGAGACTCTAATGCAAACGTACAGTATAAGCTTCGTTGCACAGTGTGACGTCGGACAAAAGTTGAGCTTTATCAGGGGTGATAAGAGCCTCAACATTTTCGGCTGCTTTTTTTATTTGCAATGCAGGAAAGCCAACGCATCAGGGGAAGCTTCAGCTTGGGAAACTAACTAGACGTATAGCAAGGTATTTGTAAACTGGTAGCGTAACTTCCATAGAAGCCCATGGATCCAGTAGCCTGCGGCTCGTAGCCACCATCGACGTGAGGTGGGGACAGCTAACAGCACACAAACATAATAAAAAATTAAATATGGCGTCACTGCCGCAAATGGTAGCGACGTCGCGCATTCATTCCACATGGCACGAAATTGAAATTTTTTCCTGACTGCTGACCTTCTACGTGTACTATTAATATGCAATCTCATTGCGCTTTAATTGTGTCTTGCTAATTGCATGCTAGAGAGAACAGAAACAAAAAATAAGGATTGTGGGAGCAAACTTGA